GCTAACTAAAGATGGATGCTTTAAAAAAAAAAGAATAAGGAGAAGAGGAGGAGGAAAATTAGCAAAGCCCTAAGGTTAATTCTTGTCCATTCTTAACAGGAACCTCAGATATTTTCCTGGCTTTACTTATTCAAGGTTTCTTTCATGAAATAATTATCTTCATAACTGCACACAAAATACACATCTTTGATCTAGCTATCTTTTCCAATGATAATTTTTGAAGTAATAATCTATTTTAATTACCAAAAAGTTTAAGCATTTCTTTTCGAAAGGGGAGCAGTTTCTTCTTAATTAATATGTGGTTTTGTTATCGATGGTATTATGTATTACATGATGATTATCTCACTTTCTTAGTGCTCCTCTGAACAGTATTGCATCTGTGTACCACTAGTAACCTCTCAGTACATGTGCACTTAGACCCTTTCTGTAACAGTCGTGGTAATAACAAAAAAATTACATTAACTTGCAAAGGAATTGCTTAATGGTATGAAGCATTCTGGTTTCTACCAAAACCCCAATTAGTTAATTTTGTGCCCTTCCTGGCCTACATAAATTATGCAACCCTTACATCTCAACATCAGTGAATTATGTAGCTCTGCTCACACATCAATTAATTTTGGCCCCATCAACTTCCCACCTTCTGTGTGCTCCCAGCCTCAAATCAATTTTGCATCTCCCAGCCGCGAGCGGTTAATTTTGTACTCCCAGCAGCTCATATCTGCCTAAACCTGCAGCCCTGCTTCAACTCTTCACCCTCCCCCATCTGCCTCTGCTCCTGCACAGCCAAGCCACTGCCGCCTTCTGCCAAATTTGTCCTTCTCCAGCTCACAGCAAGGATCAATATCAGGCAGCTTCACCTCCTGCCTCACCAGTCAGCACTGCATCCCAATACACCCATGGGCAGCAGAGCTGATCTGGGGGTGACCTGGGTGGCCTTGTCACTCTCCTCTTGATTTTCAAAGTGCAAATTGCAAGACTGAAGCTCCATCTTCTGGAATGGCCTGTCAAAGTCATGGTGTGCCTGGAGCAACCACCTCCAAAACCCTTCCAGTGGGGAAGCCTGCATCACACAACACCCCACTGAGAAGAGAAATAGCTTCCAGGTGTATAAGAAAAGCAGCGCTGAGGAAAAAGGTGGTGCCAGCATCCATCAAACTTAGCACTGCTGCCAGCAGCAGAAGTAAGTGTGACCTGGGCCTCGCTGTTAAAGCTGACACTGCTACATTTGTCCCTATTAAATGCCACAGTAGGCTTCTCTAAGCAACCTAGAAAGACCTTATTTTCCTCCAGAAGAAACTTCAGTGTGCAAAACTATCAAGAGGGATATATTTTCTCTTATTGCCAACCTCTATGTGCAGCTTTGGTCTGAGTCCTCAATTATTTTCCAAAAAGGAAAAGTATCTCCATGAGAAGTATGTAGAGACCAAAAGCCCAAGAGGGCAACGTGATGTCCTGCAAACCAAAATGGCCTTGTGTCCTGGGTTCAGCAGTAGCAGTTATTTTTCTCCTTCTTGGTAGCTGGTGCATTGCTGTGTTTTGACTTTCGGCCTGGGAACAGAGCTGATAACAATGATGTTTTGGTTTGGCCGAAGACTTTGTGAGCCTCGTGCTCTGCCAGGGAGGAGGGAAAGCCAGGAGGAAGCAGAGACAGGACACCTGACCCAAGCTGACCAAAGAGGTATTCCATACCACAGCACGTCATGCCCAGGAGTTAACAGAGAGTTACCCGGAAAGGCTAGAGGGACAGGAGGGTTGGAGGAGGTATCAGTCGGTGCGTGGTCAGGCTGGGGGGGGTGAGTTATTGGTCGTCTGGGGGTGAGGTGATGGATTCTTTTCCCTTGTTATTTCCTTTATCATTATTGGTGGTAGCAGTAGTGATTTGTGTTATACCTTACTTACTAAACTGTTCTTATCTCAACCCGTGGGAGTTGCATTCTTTTCGATTCTCCTCTCCATCCCTCCAGGAGTAGGGGGAGGGCAAGAAGGGGGGGAAGTGAGTGAACGAGCTGTCTGGCTGGGTTTAAACCACTACACCTTGCCGAGCTGTTGCTTGATGATTGCTTTCAGACCAGGAGGCAGCAGGGCAGCTCTGCATCCCACTTACGGTCTTTAACCAGGGATTTGCATTCTAGTAATGCAGGATGGGTCAAGACAGGCCCCTTCCTTACCATCTTCCTCTGTATTTAGTTCCTCAGGAGCATAGAGGGGGGGGTCCGGCAGCTTTTGCCAAAGGGACAAGGGTGGTGACAGCAGAGTGAGGAGCAGTCAGGCTGCACCCAGGGTCACCCCATTTTCCATCCAGCTGGACTGGCGGGAGGGCTGGGGAAGAGCAGTTTTCAGTTCAATCTCCTTTTCTCTCCGGGGGCTGGAAGGAATTTAACTCCTTTCCCAAGTGGGGTTACAGATTATTTTCTCTCCTCTCCTTTTTGTCTGTGTCTGTTTAAGCAGCAAGTTCTGCAGAGGCTGACTTGTGCTTTTCTTGTACAATTCCCAGCACATCTGGCCATCTTGGGTAAGGTCCCTAGGCCTGATTGTAGCAAAAAGTAATGATAGCGTGTTTAAAATTTGGGCCTCCAACTATAACTATATATAAAACACAAAGCATTTGGGACAAACTGAAGGAAATACAATTTTTAGTAACTGAGCAAAATAAATATATATTCACTCTTTTATATCTGCAGTTGTGCTTTGCATGCATGAGTGCTCTGACATTGTGTTAGAAGCCTGTATCTCAGAACTGAAAGCCCGTGCAATGCAGTGTAGGGTTTGCTCCCAGCTGGTTGGCATCAAGCATTTTTCCTGTCTCACTTGTACAACAGCCATGGTCATTCATCAGCGTGAAGCTAAGCTGGCTCTAGAAAATGTTCAATTTATCTAGGTGTCCTGATTAAACCTGCCTTGATTTAAAAGAGGCACACCACTGTACTCCTGTGAACATTTGTTATTTCTTCAAATAATAGAATTAGCTATCGGCATTTCCTTAGGAGGATGCAGAACACAATTGCAGTATAATTCCTCTCCCTCCAAGCCTAGTCTTGAAACATGCAAATTTCTCTTTCAAGTGTATTGGCAAAAAATGGCAACAACCTGATGCACAGATGATTTAGACACTGAATTACACACTGGTTGAGTTATCATCAGGGAGTTGAGTTCTTTGGGGAATATAGAGTGCTGTGGAAAGTAGCACAGTCTGCAGGGGAAATATCAGTGGATGTCTTGTTTCTTGCTGTCTTTTGTAGGGATCCAGCACTGGCCACTGCCATGGACAGTGCACCGGGCTGCATACAGGCCTCTCATCTTCCTAGTACAGCCTTGCTGTAACCTTACAGAGCTTGATGCAACAGACCACAGTGCTGTGCACTTTCTGCTGAGGGTTTTCATGTTCTGTTTTAAAAATAACAAGACATCTCTTAATATTCAGGATACATTTTTCCACTCTGAAGCGCCCCAACAGTCTTTTTAAAGAAACTTTAGGAAGGGTGTTAACTTGACCAATGCTGTGCAGGAAGGAAAGCTCTTTCCTACTATTTTTTCAGCATGACTTTCACTGACATGATCAGGCTGGGAAAAGACTTATTGGCTGACAGCCCAGGACAGCCATGCAATATCTCTAGTCATCTGGAACTCAAACTACTCTGCCCAGGGGAGAACCATAACGTAAAAACAATTTAGGTTACATGCTGAATCATATAAACATTGTTCAGTTTTTAGAAAATAGTTTAAATACTATTTATGTGCATTGGCTATGCACAGGTTTGGGTTTTTTTCAAATATCAAATAAGAAAGGCTGGGATGGGGTTTACTTTTTTTACTGTAGACAGTTTTCAAAAAACTTGGCTATTGTTAGAAGTATTAGGGACATGAACTTCCTCTCTTCTCACAGATTTAAGAGCTTGGCTTCCCCTATGTATCGGATATAATTGTTTTATATATAGATAATGTTTGCTTTTTGACCCTGTCCAGAAAGCTCAGTGACAGGCACGCTGGTCTGGTTGGAGCACGAGCACCACATTGGGAGGGCTTGGCTTCATCAGGCTAAGCTGCAAAACCCCCGAGGACAGAGTTTCTGCAGCCGTACCGCTGACCTGCACCGAGGCTGCACTTCTCTTCTACAGATTTATTTCCACGCCATTCAGCCTGAGCCCTCCATGCTACCCTTTGTGGCCATTGTCCCCTCTTAACAGTTTGTTATTGCTGCCCAGAGTTTGTTCTGTCACCCTCCCACCCTCCCCAGTGTATGTATAATCTGAGTAACCCTGGTAAACCAAAGCGCAAGGGCCAATATATGTGTATGAAACTGAAAAGTTGAGGCCTTAGCCTCCAACTGTATTAATATGTGGAGTTTTCAGTTGTCTTGTGGCACAAGAGAAGGAGAAACCAGGATATTTCCAACAGTTCAAAGCCGATACTAAAATGTATTAATTATAGTGCTTTTGCAAGTCTATGGTTCTTTTCTCTCCCTTTTGGAAACTATTACTGGCCTCTGTTGTTACTTTATTTTGCATAAAATCCTGCTAGAGTAAAATGCTCCTCAGTAAGCATATGCAGTTCTAATAGCCTGGGACAAAGCAAGATGAATTCAGTGTGTAAGTTTCACTTCAAAACCCTTTTTTTCCCCTCTTGTCTTAATTGAATACCTGAGACTGGGATGTGTCCATTGCCACCTGTCCTTCTGCCAAGTCCTAATATTCCAGCACACCTTGCAACAAGCCTAAAATTATTATTTTAGGAAAACGGCTATGGTTCTTTATGATTCCTTTTTTCCATAAACTGGTATTTAACAAGCTGAGTAGCCTTACTGTCTTTTCAGCGACTGGTCCATTCTACCAGAAGAGATTAACCGCTCTCACACATAGCTTGGTTATTATTGTGCAGCCTCTTGCTTTGCTGAAATTGGTGGTTATTTGGTGGCATTGTTGTTTTTAATTGAGTTGTCATTTTTACTTTCTTGATGTGATGTGCCATGTGCCGTAACTTTTCCTCTGGTGCTTTCATTGCAGGCCTTGCTGAGACCAGGACGAATAGATAGAATTATCTATGTGCCATTGCCAGATGCAGCCACTCGTAAGGAGATCTTCAAACTTCATTTTCAGTCCATGCCAGTCAGCGATGAAGTCTGCTTAGCAGAGCTTGTTCAGCACACACAGAAGTACTCAGGAGCAGAGGTAAAACTTATGGAATGGTAATTGCCACAGAGTTGGTGCACAAAATTGTGTTTTCAAAATTGGAATCAAGTATCAACCAGGTATCGTCCTTAAGGCTTCTCAAAGTGGAGGGAGGAATTATGAAAAGAAATGTTTGTGAGATTTATATGTTTCTGCATAGAAAACAATACAGTCTGGGGCTTTTTTCCTTCAAGATCTCCATCAGATTGTTGCCAGGGGGAGGGCCTTTTCCAGGGAGAGCCATAGTACCATCATGGGTGGCCTCATTATAAGGATGTGTTGCCCTGAGATGTGGAGGGAGGTGGGGGCAAGTGCCCCCAGACTGCCCAGACAGTTCACCTGGGTCTCTCCACATCCCTGGGGATCTTTTTTGCATTTAAGATTGTGACTGAGAGCCTCAGATGGAGGGAGGATAGACAGAGTTATGAGATGGTGCAGGGGAATTGCAAGGAAGTCACTGGTCACTTTGAAGCTCATATTTTCCTATTCCATATAATCAAGACATAATACACAGCAGCACTTATTGTTATAGCTCATTGCTATTAGTTGGTCAGCTTCTGACAATGGACATCAGACAATTATTTCCTGTCCATGGTAGAAGGAGAAGCTTTCCCAGGTACTGATGCCTGGCAGTTAAAATAAGTATTGATATGTTAGTGGTCATCACTCTGCTCTATGAATGTTTTTCATGTCAGTGTCTCATGAAAGGATATTTCATTCTTTTCTCATTTTGATTAGTTGAAAGGAATTAACATTACTTCAAAAATTCAGAATGTTACTAAGGTTGCAAGTTTGAGCTCTTAAAAGGTAAGAAATACCAGAATTAAAATTTCCACCTTCCTGTAGCCTAGTGTATGCATTATCGTACCATCTTTAATTACATAGTCACCTTCTGCTTTTTCCATAGCAGAGTGGAAAATGTGATGTGCTTTCCTCAGCTCCTCATCTTTCTGTGTGCTGTTTACAAGGGCAGGGAAATAAGTTAAACTTTTGTCTTGGCTCACAAGAGAGGGTAACTGTGGAGTGTTTGTGTGATTCCTATAATGCTGAAGGCTTTCTCAACTAGTCATTGGATATGCTCCCAGGCAAGACTTTTGCTCATTTAGCTGTCACTATAAATGCTGGTACACTGTAAAATCCTGCATTGCGTACTGGCTGGTGGGGGCACTGCTGTTAGTGCTGCAAGTCCAAAGGATGGGGTCCGACCTTGCCAAACGCAGCAGCAGCAGGGTTTGGCGAGCCTCCAGGCTTGTTCTGGGAAGCTGTGTCACAGTGGACACCAAAGTCAAACCCGCAAGAGCTTTCCTCCTCCACAGCACAGGACAAACTGTGCTCTGGGAATGGATGAATGAAGGCTGTGTAGTGAGCAAAGCTGTTTTGTGTAGCACATCTTTTTGCCACAGAATGTGGGATATCAGAATGAACAAAAGGCAGTAAAAAAGGATCACAGGCTTAAATGTCAGTCTGGAAAATTGTCACAGCTGTACTGCCTCCATGCTTTGCAGTAGTGACTCAGTACTATGTTTTTAACCGGATATCAGTGGTGCTGCCCTGGCAGAATATATCTGCCTCTGGATGAGTTACAAGCCTCCCAAAGCGTAAATATAATAAACATATTTTCTGTTGTGTATGGTAACTGTCTTCTTACTAGGCAACAACTATAATGCTTGTATTTTAGAAATTCCAAGGATTTCCTTTGAATCTGGATCAGCTGAGGCTCTAGTGATGAATTTCTGTGCCTAGTTGATAATTAGTCACAAATGTCTTGGTGCTGGCTTTGTACATTACCAAAAATAAGTTAATGGGTCATTGAGTGCAGCTACAGACTAGCTGTGGCGGTGGAGGAAAGCCTGCCTGTTTTCAATACGGCATTTCTCATGAATTTTGTTCTTTCACATCATTCAAAGAGTTATAACTGAGATGTAAAGAGTAAATACAGAAGAATCCTCAGTGTTCTTTGGAAGAATATTTAAGTCTTGACAGTTGGCACGCACAGCGGCCAGTTTCATTAAAGCCTTTTCTTCCTAGTGTCTCCAGCTTCCCAGCTTTAGAAATAGTTTCCGCTGTTGAATGGCAAGTTCCCATTCTACTGTTCTGTCCTTTGTTTAGAAAAAGAAATGGAAAATGCTCAGGTTTGTGACTAGAAGATGCTGTGTGAATAAGGAGTTACATGTAAAGATGCATTGAATCATCCTGACATGAGATGAATAAACAGCAAGTAAAGTGAATAGTTCAGTATATGTCTGGCTTCCAACCCGGCCTTTTTTAAGATCAGATATTTGTGTATTTTTGCCTGTCATCACTGATGACCAGTTATCTCTATTTACCTGCTGGATGTATGTTTCTTTTAATGAGTATCTTTAAAGATACATCAAGATAGCAAAATAGGGTGATTACTTCCCACTGCTGCATGTGAGAGAAGACTGAAGATAATTTATGAGGGTGGATTGCAATTTCCTTCTCTAGTGTGTAAAGAAGTTTAATATATTTAAAAAAAAAGGTGCATTTACATTTTTAGTGTAAGAAAAAAAGTAATGTCTGTACAATTAGTTTTTATTATGCTAATAGTATAGATCAAGCAAAGCCTCAGCTGAAATATTTGGTTTTGAGTTTCATCTTCATTACCAGGCCCTTCTGAAACAGTGTCCTGCAGCAATGCTTGAGGCTGTTCTTCTGCATCAGTAAATCAGGAAAGTAAGAAATTGTCTATAGAAGTTTCTGAATAGCAAGGTTCGGCCTCCAAGCTGATGTTAACACCAAGGATCACTCCCTCCTCCCTCTGAGGCGACTTCTTTGGCTGCATGTCTGCCCTGAAGGCATTTGTCTGTTCCCAGGACCACCTCAACCTCTTTTTTGCTGAGCTGGTGTGACTGAGCCAAACGCAGAGTAGGTCTGGTTGCTGCAAGCACAGTGCTGCAGTACCATATGTCTCCTTTGCCCTCACACGCAGACCAGCAGGTTTCACTGGTGTGGCAGAGGAGCCATCAAACTGGGACAATACTCTTGCATTTGTCCCCAGCTTTTTTTTCCTGGGAAACTTCTACTGAGGGCCATGCCCAGGCGGCTGACGCTTGGCATGGTTCAGCAGGAGAGTAGGCTGGGCTGGGCTGCCCTGCTGGCCTCACCAGCACTTCCAGGTGCTGCAGCATTAGCAGGGAGCACTGGTAGGCACAAAAAGGCCTCTAGATCTTGAAAGTAATAAAAATGGTTAAAACAAGTGCAGTACTGCCTTGAAATTTTTGTAAAGTTTGTTCTAGTGTTCCTGCATTTTATTTTGTGGCAAAATTTGCAGGAGATTCAACTTTTTAGAAGACTGATAATTTTATTTTTTTTAATGCTTTTATATAATTGGGATGTCTTCACTCAAAGATTAATTGGATTATAGATTTTTTTCTAGAGCATTTTCACTGTTGTACTTCATGCTGAAGTTTTTCTGTTTGATTTCTCTCTGTGCTTTCTGTCGAGTGCAGTGAATTAAAGATCCAGATGCAGAAGTATTTAAAAGCTATGTTTGAAAGTGCAAGCAGTGTGAGTTCTTTGGGTCTCATTTGCTTCCTTTGATGATGCTGCTACAGCCAGCTTGCTTTAGGAAAGATGGGCCTTCCACAGACTCCAGTGAACTACTTTTTTAATTTTGGGTTCAGATTAGGCTTTTCATAATTACTAGCTGCTCTCTGTTGTAATACAAAACACCCATAGTCCTAATGCACTTTCTAGTGCAAGTGCAAACAAAATCATTTGGACAGTATCAGATAGAAAATTGTTTGTCCAGCAGTTTTTAAATTACGCATTGTCTCACCCAGAGAATAAGAAAGGTTGTAGCTGGAACATGTCTTGGTCTAGAGGAAGGATACCTGCCTTTATAAATGCAAAGACTGATGTCCTTATTAGATCAGGGAGGGGGGTAAGAAGATTGTATCATTTGCCTTTACAGATTAAGGGGAAGGGGTGTGTCTGTCTTCAAATCCTTGGAGGCTGCTGAGAAAAGGGATGATCAAGGGATGAAACAGTGTTTCCCCATTGTAGAAATATTTAGTTCCAGAAAGTAGGTGATAAAAAGGAGAATAAACTCAGTACTGAGTGAGGAACCTTCTTTTATTGTCTGAACCCCAGTCACATTTATAGTTTGTTACAGTTTAGGAGGCAGTAGCAGAGAGGGAAGTTTTAGGCAGAAACTTAAATCAAGTGTTGAGTAGTTTTAAGTTGGTTAAAAATAGTGAAAAAAAAAATCAATATTCTGGATCTGATGACTATATTCTCAAGACCAGCATGCTTATAAAAGTAAGCTAATGGGACTAATCCTGCTTTTAAATTGGTGGAAAGCAGGTCATGGTGAAAGCAAAGGCTGGCGTTGTTTCTATGCTATTATCAGTTTCCATGCTTACAGGAGACAATCGTAAAGCAGGAATCTGGGAACCTGTAAATCTTTCACTGGTTCTTAGTAGAACAGTTGATGTAAAAAATATCTTTCTCACTTTGCAATAACTTTCAATGGGAACAAAGAATGAAGGGGGAAAGCAGCAAGCCAATGAAGGTTTGCTGTGGCTCATATGAGGACATATTTGATGCCAAAAAGTATCTTTACAGTAGCACACTAGTTTCAGTCGACTAACGCCTTTGACTCTTAAATATGTATTCTAAAACATGCATGGTCTTGTTTAAAAGATACTGATATATTTAAGCTATAAACTTTAATAAAAACCCACTGCAAACAACCAAAACTCATCTTTTTCTTACAGAGGAAGGTACCAACTACAGAATAAGTGAGGATGTCTTCCACTGTAGGTATACAGGAAGGTAAACAGTCTTTTAAGATATTGGGAAAAATTTGTCTCTTTAGTAAACAGGATCCACAGTAAAGGTGAGAGAGGGCTGAAATACAGGTTAAAAAGGACATATGACAAATTAGAATGTGTTATCTTCTTTACACCTAGTTTTTCCATGAAGGAAAAGATCTTCCTAACTTAAGGGAAAGGCTTTCTGCTTAACATTTTTAAAGG